TGTTCACTGAAGCACAAAAGTTTTCAATTGTGATGAAGTTCAGTTTTTTTTTTCCTTTGTTATTTGTGCTTTAGATGTCATATCTAAGAATCCCTTGTCAATCGAAGGTCAAGAAGATTTACCCTTTTGTTTTCTTCTAAGTTTTATAGTTTTAGCTCTTACATTTAGGCCCGTGACCCATTTTGAGTTTTTATTTGTTTGAGACAAGGTCTCTCTCTCTGTTATCCAGGTTGGAGCGCAGTGGTTATGATCATAGCTCACTGCAGCCTCAAATTCCTGGGCTCAGGTGATTCTCCCCGTTAGCCTCTGTAGTAGCTGGAACTTCAGGTGCATGCCACCATGCCCAGAAATTTTTTTTTTGTAGAGATGGAGTCACTATGTTGCTGAGGCTAGTCTTAAATTCCTGGCCTCAAGTGATCCTCCCACCTTGGCCTCCCAAAGCACTAGGATCATAGATGTGAGCCACTGCATCCAGCTGAGTTTTTTTTTTTTTTTTTAATATATATAGTATGAGGTAAAGGCCTAATGTGATTATTTTGTGTTAGCTATTCAATTGCATCAACATTATTGTTGAAAAGACTATTCTTTCCTCCATCAAATGGTTACAGCACCCTTGTTGAAAATCAACTGATCATAAACACATAGGTCTATTTCCCTACTCTTAGATATATTCCACTGAGTCTATCCTTACTTCAGCACCACATGGTCTAATTTGCTGTTGCTTTGTAATAAGCCTCGAAATTAGGAAGTTAGAGTCATCCAACTTCGTTACTATTTTTCAAGAGTGTTTTGGCTATTTGGTGTACCTTGCAATTCTACCGGAATGTTAGAATCACCTTGTAGACAAAGTATAGTTGGATCTTGTTTTTTGATCTACTCTGACAATCTCTGCCTGTTAATATGTGTACTTAGACCATGAACATTTACACTGACTGCTGATACAGTTAGATTAGTATCTACCATATTTGTTACTGTTCTATTTCTTGCCCTTGGTCTTGTTTCTATTTTTTTGTCTTCCACTCTTTTTTTCTGCCACTTGTGGTTTTAATTGAGCATTTAATGTGATTCAATTTTTTTCTCTTCTTAGCACATTAATTATAGTTCTATTTTTACTTTTTATAGTGGTTGCCCTAGCCTTTGCAATACACACTGATAACCAACCCATGCCCATCTTCACAGAACATGCTATCATTTCACAGGTAGTACAAATACTTATAATAAGAAAAGATTCCCTTTCCTCCCTCCTGTTCTCTGTATTGTCATTCATCAAATGTATTTTTTAATCATAGTTTCCTTTAGTTCCTTGAACATATTTATCATGGTTACTCTGAAATCTTTGTTAAATCTAACATCTTGTTATTCTTATAGGCAGTTTCTGTTGCCTGATTTTTTTTTCTGCTTATAAGTCATACTTTCCTGTTTCTTTGCATGTCTTGTAATTTTTTGGTGATAATCCAAGTATTTCTGATAATATATTGTAGTAGCTCTGCCTACTGGTCCTTGTTATTTATTGTAAATAAACTGGGCTTGTTTATGCTTTAGTGACCAGCTGGTTTATTTTAATAAGATCTATTTGTCCCTCCCCACTCATCCCAGTGCTGCACACAATTCATGTCCCTTTCTCTCTCATTCAGAAGGCATTACTGTAGACATGTGTTGCTTTCATTTCCCCTGCTAACTATACCCTGTCGGTCCTCTGGAGAACTCACACTACCACCTCATCAATCCTGTGTTTTCTGTGAAGATGACCCAATTTCTAGTTTCAGTGGGGGGTGTGTCAGGCTAGGACAGTCAGAGCACTCCACTCCCCTGGACACAGTGATTATTCTGGGGATGGAAGTAGAACTCAAGCCAATGAGACTCCATCCTGAAATGTCACTGAGAATACTGAAGGCAGAGCCACAGAATGAAGCAAAACACTACTGAGAGCCAACTTTGTCACTTGGGGGAGAATCTGACTAAGAATGAAACCACAGTAAGAAAAGGAAACCCTGATGTCAAATGTTTGGGCACCTGGATATATCTCCGAATTTTAGTTATGTTTAGGTAATACATTTCCTTCTTAGTTGGGTCAGTTTGAGTTTGATTCTTGTCATATGCCCCAAAAAGAATCCTAATGATCATACAAAAATGCAATTGGCCAAGGGTGATTTTATTATGGGGAAATAATCTTGACTGAGTTCCAATTTATTTAGAAAAAGAAACTGTTGGCCAGGCATGGTGGCTCATGCCTATAATCCCAGCACTTTGGGAGGCCAAGGTGGGCAGATCACGAGGTCAAGAGATTGAGACCATCCTGGCCAACATGGTAAAACCCCATCTCTACAAAATAAAAAATTTAGCTGGGCGTGGTGTGCGTGCCTGTAGTCCCAGCTACTGGGGAGCCTGAGGCAGGAGAATCACTTGAATCTGGGAGGTGGAGGTTGCTGAGATCATGCCACTGCACTCCAGCCTAGCAACAGAACGAGACTTTGTCTCAAAAAAAGAAAAAGAAATTGTTTGCAAACTTTGACATTTTATTATTTGTAACATACTGGTGTTCTACTAAAGTTCACGGGGCCAGTGACTGAATTTAATTTGGAAGCTGCTATATTTCAAGGGCCTTTTATGGCGTACAGAAAAGAGCTTAATAAGTGAGTTGAATGCATGTGTTATGGAAGTAGGAAGTGTATAATCTACATGAAAACCATGTACAGTCATGTATTACTAACAAAAGGGATATGCTCTGAGAAATGCACCATTAGGCAATTTCATCATGGTGCAAATATCAAAGTGTACTTACCCAAACCCAGATGGTATAGCCAACTATACAACTTGGCTATATGGTATAGCTTATTGCTCCCAGGTTATAAACCTGAATAGAACATCACTGTACTGCAAACTGCAGGCAATGGTAAGTACCCATTTATCTAAACATAGAAAAGATAACAGTAAAAATACAGTATTATAATCTTGTGGGACCACTGTCATATACACGCTCCATCATTGACTCAAAATGTTATGTGGTACATAATGATACTCATTTCTCTTTATTGTAAATAAAGATGAGACTAATTCTATCACAGATCTGAATAACTGCTCTGTTTCCCTACACAAAAAGGCACATCTGCATACTTCTTTGATCTATGTCCTATGCCAAAAAATGTCTACTCTCCCACTATAATAAAAATAGAACTTTTGACACAAATGACATCCTCAGTCTTTTGAAACTCTAAGTAGATTATGTATATCAAATTCCCCTTGGTTATGGCTATTTCTTTGTCAGAGAATTCCAGTATATTTAGGCACGACTTCCCCTTGAAGAAAAGACGCTACCTTTTCCTTAACTGTTTTTGTTTGCTTGTTTAAGTGTTTGGCAGTTCTCCAAGTTGTTCAGTATGGGAGGGGAACTCGTCAACTTTTAAATTTCCAAGGCTTCTTAGAACATTCTCATGGGCAGAGGTTGTATTTAAATTCACCAGTCTTCAGGAAAACAATTTGTTTTGTTTTAAAACATGCAGTGGATTTATTTATAAGACGCTGACAAAAAGTCTTTATATCTATATCTTTATTTAAACAAGTTTCTATAATAGCTAGGAGAATACAGCATTAATGACACACATTTACTAAGCACAACATTGGACAACTACAAATTTAGAGCATAAATGTAATTCTGATATTGTTTTGGTTTTTATCTTAGCACTAGGTATATCTAGTGAAAACCCATGTTTCAAAGGCTTTTATTGATATGAGGTGAATTATTAACTTATTTTTAAAAATTGCACGTGAGATATGCTGGAATGGGGTCTAGAGTCTAGAGTTAAGTTGATAATGACTTTCATGTCTCAGTATTTCTGCTTCCTTTTTAATGGGTAATGTTTCACCTAAGAACTTGCAAAAAATTGTATCAAAGTTTTCTATGCAGATCAAAGTAGAATTCCTTTTCCAAACCTAACAAGGAAAAATATTTGAAAACTGAAATGTTCAATTTCCTTATAGTTAAAAGGCTTGTCCATTTCATAGTAAATTAATAAAGTTAACAATTAAAATACAATATGTTAAATGGCATGAGCTCATTTCTGCACAACACTGTTAGAGCAATTTAAATTTTCCAAAGACACAAAAAAGTCAATTTTACTGCAGGATCCCACAAAAATACATAATTAGGAGTCATAAATACAACATATATATCCACATTTAAAGAAAAAATTCACCATTTGTTTGGAAAAAATAATGGCTCAAATGACTTAGGGGGCCTGAAATGTGGGCTAAAATTTTATAACATATGGTAACAATAAGATATTTGAAACTGTTGACTCTGAAAAATGCATAAAAATATACTGACCTGCCAAGCATTAAATTACATATACCAGTTTCAACTAAAAAACATTTTTCTTTCAAATATTTCAAGCATTACAATACTGAAGAAATGTTAGTCATATGAATCCAATAACACCCATTAAGTTACGCTAATGAACATTTTAGATAGACCAAATTACAAATAAAAAAAAAGTATAAAAAGCATTTTGGAAGATATTATACATAGTATTTTTCAGTTCCTGATTTATTGAGAAATCTACTGTAATTCAGGTTGGTTTATTTAATTTAGGGTAATACAGTGGATGAGAACGTATAGCACGCTTTCCTGTTTTTACTCAACCTTAAAAAACTTTGAAAAGAATGTCCACAAAATGTTTGAGTTCCACCCTTAACCTTTAGTGACAAAAGGTTAGTAGAAAGTAAGACATTTAAATATTATCAAGAATCTAACCTATCTCCAAAATTTCTTTCATATACATTTTCTTACTTGTGACACAGAGTCTCACTAACTTAGCAGCATTCTCTAAGCTGGCCTCTCACTGGCTCTGAGACTGTCACTGCCCCACAGTTCTCATTCCCACTTGGAAAGGAAAGAGGAGAAAGTACAGGAGAAGGAGGGTCATGCAGGGTCAAGCCAGAAAAGGAGGAACAAGCCAGTTTTGACAGGGTCACACCCAGTCAAAACTCTCACAAAACCTTGAGAAACAGGGCAAGACATCCCTTCCAGGCAAGATATCCTTTACAGAAGAAAAGTTCTGGAGAACTTAAGGCAGCTCTAGAAGGGAAGGGAGCAAGGGTTAAGGCGGCCCTCACAGCACAGCCTGAGAACAAATTCCAATGCACTCATCCATGAACAGAGGCCACGGCGGTACAGAGCCTCTTCAACGCGCATGCGCATGGCACCCCTCCTAGCACCGTCAACACCTGCAGCACAGCATGCACACGCTGCGGGGCTCCCACACAGACTGACTTGTAGATGACCCGTCCTGTGAACAGCCCTCAGAAGGTACCCAGTGGCTTGGGCTCCGTGTGCTGAGGACCTAAATTGGGAAGGTGGCCTGTGGCTGTAGGCCTGTGCAGGCTGCGACGCTCACCTGGTAGTAGGGACACTGACGATGGCGTGGAGAGTAACTCTCCTCTTAACTTCACAGAGGCTTTTGCTGCTTCCTGTCTTTTTGGTTGAGACAGCCTGCTACCAACTAATCTCCAAACACAGAGTAGTGCACCCTCCCAGAGAGCACTGATTCACGACAAAAGTCAAGCCTAGTTATGGCAAGTAACTGACAAAAAAGAAAACCACTTGGTGCTGAGCACTTGGTCTCCTTAAAACAAGTAACTTGGTACTCAGCACTTGCTCAGTTCCCACATGCCAGCTGCCAATTCTGATAAAAAAGCACCCCTTGTTGGCCTGGGGCATTCCACAGGTACCAAGAGGGCAGCGGCATGACCTCACAATGTTTTTAAATTCTCCTGACTCACAGGTGCCCATGCCACTGCTCTGTATGGGAAAGCGGGATGGCTGGAGGGCTGTGTGACATCAGGCAAGTCACTGACCCATCTCTATTCCCAAGCTATCATCGGCAAATGATTGTAGAAGCGACCCCATCCACCGTCCATGCTGCTGTGAGGATGAAACGAGGTAACAGAGGAAAGCGCTTCAGGAAAGCGTATCTGGACCCAGGTATTGTTTCTGCACTACTTTCAGCAGGATGCACTAGTTTGGCTCTGTTTTATCATAAGCAGCTGACATTACCCAGAGGATCCGTGTTTATGCCTGCTAAGGAACTCTATGAATTGGAGACAGTGTGTGTGTGTGTGTGTGTGTGTGTGTGTGTGTGTGTGTGTGTGTGTGAGAGAGAGAGAGAGAGAGAGAGAAGGAGAGAGAGAGAGAGAGAGAAGGAGAGAGAGAGAGAGAGAGAGAGACAGACAGACAGACAGAGAGCATTGTGTGAGGACTTCTCAGGATGGTGGCAGGTGCCCATTTTCCTAGGGTTACCAGGAAAGTAATTTCTCACAACAACCACACGCTGAAATTCTAATAATATTTTCATAGCCTCTCCTAATATGTAGCTGTAACCTTACTAAAAGATTTGATCTATATTACACATAACTACTCACCCAGAAAAAGCCAACTCTATCCATTGAAATGAAGAAATAACAACAGCGCAAACCATCCGAACTGACACTAATCCCCAAATCTCCTGTCAGTTGGTTTTGGAATATGTTTTTGTGCTTCTGCACCTGATGAAAGAAGCATCAGGTATGTGGAAATTTTTTAAACTTCCAAAGGAATTAGAAGCTACACTTTGTGGATTTTATCCCATATTTATCTTCCCTCCTTTTAGAGTTACTCTAGGCAGATTAAAGCCTTAACCTGAGAAAAGCTGCAAGAAGGGAAATTACTTTTAATTTTTCAGCTTCAAGTTGTAAAAGTGTGAGTCTGCATGTAGTAAGGTGAGTGGGGAGAGGATTACTGAGACAAAAAACTGCTGTGACTTTTAAGGTCTCTTCCTTTGAATTCCCATTGTGTGTCACAGAGGAATTAAGAAAAAGTCAATCACTGGTCTTCTAAAGGAATGTATTGCAGAGAAGTGAGAACAATAAGAACTGTGCGAAGATTGGGCTGACGGTAAGCACCAGGAAGGCCAGCGGGGGCAACTGAAGACTGACTCCATCCACCTGCCATCAGTGCACAAACAGCAGGCAACAGGATAGACAGACGATTAAGTTGAGGGAAGGGGAAGAGTGAATGAGTAAGTGAAAGGCTGGCAGGGTGTGTCTGAAGCTGGGTAAGAAAGTGTGGATGACAGAAAGAAGGGACCTCAGAGAAAGCAGTCCTCAAACTGGCCCAAAGATCCCCATAGTTGGCAGAATCTTCCTGTACCTTCAAGAAAATGGTATACAGAGTCATTTACTGGGCCCTGGTTACAAGGTATTTTTGTGAATGACTAAAAATCTCCAGGCCACCAAGAGAGGTTAATTCAGACCCCCATCTGAGGCTCTGGGTAGACCTGGGAGGAAGTTGGAGTCCTGGAATAGCAGAACCTTTGTACCACCATCACTGAACAGGAGAAACCGCCAGGGCAGAGTGGGAGCTCTGGCTCCAGCACTTGAGAGGAGAAAGACCGGAATTGGGAAAGAAAGGCTCACACCAGAGCCTTTTCTTCATGATGCTTCAGTACATGAGCTATCTGAGTAACAGAAAAGGCTGCATGGCAGTGACAGCTATGGTGTGACCTGGAAGACCTGAGAAGATTCAGGGTGCACGTGAGTCGTGCTACACAGGATGAAGCTGGGGAAGGTCTGGGAGCATTTCCAGGGCTGAGGTGGACAGCCTGTACCACGGTTGCATTTTCTTAGCAACTCCCCAACTTACAGCCTATCAATGCTGTTAGATTCTGATCCATTCGGTACAAACCAAATAGCTATGACTTAATTGTGCATTGAAACTGCATTGACAACCAGGAAAAACTGAGAGAATCTGATGCAATTGGTAGTGTTTCTGGTTGGTATTGCAAATAAATAAATGTATTCAAATTGAGTAAAGCAGTACATGATGTAATAAAAATTACTTAAACCAATTATAATACAAATATAGTAGGACCTTCTAAAAGCATGTCCACGAATCATGTATATTTAAGAAAGGCTACGGTTACACAAACTTGTGATTTTACATTTGATTAATCCTAAGGAATTGACAGGCACTACACACTGGTCTTTCCACCAGAGAAAGAACTTACTGAGTAACTGCAGTTTTTTTCTCTAGATTCTAAGGGCTGAGAAGAAAGAATTTTAAATGTGGAAGAGATGTTAAGAATCAATGTCCAACTCTCTTATTTTATAAACAAGAAAACTGAGGCCCACTTAAGTTAACAGACAGTATTTATCTTTTAATAACAATCTTTATCACTGATATGAAGCTATTTGACTTCTATAAATATTGCACATATTTTAATTAGATTTGTCATTTTTATAGACCATCTAACAGTTAAATTATATAATCTATGATTGTAATTCAGAACCAGAGTTTCTAATGAAAACTAATAATTTGCTTTTGTGCAACCTGAAGGATTTATTGTATAAGATTTCTAAGAAAAATGGTGAATAAGTTTTACTATAATTTCAGAATGAAAACTTATAGAATCTGGGTCTTAATGAACCAAATCCTCTGTAAAATTCAACAATCTTCTACTTCCTATATAAGTCTTCTTAAAGTATTTCTAATATGATGCTTTTAAAAGTATCTAGTGGCATCTGAGAACACTTATAGAAGTTGCAAAACCTTAAAAAACTGAATCATAATGTAATATTTATTATATACCTTATTTTCTTTTGCATAATCAAAGTTTCAAGACCTGAATCATTAACATTCTGACAATTCTTTCAGATAATGAGATTAACTCTTTTTTTTTTTTTTTTCTCTTTTTCTGAGGCAGAGTCTCGCTCTGTCACCCCAGCTGGAGTGCGGTGGTGTGATCTCACTGCAACCTCTGCTTCCCAGGTTCAATTGATTCTCGTGCCTCAGCCTCCCGAGTAGCTGGGATTACAGGCACATGCCACTATGCCCGGCTAAGTTTTGTATTTTTAGTAGAGACGGGGTTTCGCCATGCTGGCCAGGCTGGTCTCGAACTCCTGACCTCAAGTGATCCGCCCACCTTGGCTTCCCAATGTGCTGGGATTAAAGGCGTGAGCCACTGTGCCCAGCTGAGATTAATTCTTAACAAATTAACAAGAGAGAAAATCTGTCAAGGTTGAAAATGTGCACTGTACGAATCAGATCTGTTCAGACTTATTAAAAATAAGTCACTTCACAGAACACTGGACCTTGATGCAATAGCCACACAAGGAAAATTAGTGAGCACATCAATGTAATACATCCTGAATAAATAATGACATCAACAATAGCCACTTTGTCTAATCCTACCCCTAAATGTCAAGCATTTTGTCATATTACTAAATGACTTTCCAGTGTCTACTACTTGTGCAGGTGAATCTGTAGGTATTTGCATATAATCCAGTTAAAACTGTGATCTGACTGAATTGTAAACAGAGTTGATAAGAGAAGCTTATTGTTGTGGGGCCTAATATCACTTACATTTTAAGAAGACAGTATATAGCAGCAATTTAAAATGCTCAGTAAACTATAGTACAAATGGACATCTATGCTATTTAGCAAACCAACATTCCTTTAATATCTCTATATCATAGTGATACAAATAAGGAAGTTACTTGACCAATTACATATTGCCAGTTTATTTCTTTGATCCAGTTTGACAGTATCAACATAACTGATTACTAAACTGATATGATATGTACTCAATGGAGACTTTTATTTCCATTCTCCTGTTTAGTGCAGAGGAGGTTCTTCGATGCCTTCCTAGCAGCTCACCTATAGAAGTTATGCTTTTTATACCATTCAAATGCAGTGCTAAAGATTTAAAATAAATGCTGCCAGCTGAAGACACATTTCTCTCCTCCTTTCCTTCCTCTCTCCCTTCCTTCCATCATTCACCTGTATGTAAACTCAGGGTACCTAGTTGGTCAAGGATGAGCGTTGCTATGAAGATAACACAGCACGAAAGAGCCTATCATTTTTTCCAAGGTGATGAAAGTATTCTAGGAAGATTTCCAGTTAATGACTTCTCATAGGGAGATAATCAGTACTTTCTCTTCAAAAACGTATTTTCAGTAGCTCACTGGAAATAATGGGTTCTTATTTCAGGCAAGAAATGTATTGTCAATGTTTGCCTGGACATCACTTTCAGACCCGTGAAATGAAGCCCAGGCCGAGGCTGGCTGGAATCTGGATGGTTTCTAGCGCGAGAGAAGATGGGTTGAAAGGAAAGGTGACAGGAAAGATGTGTTTAGCATCCATGAGCAGCTGGGGAGAGTCTTTCCTGTCTCGTAAACGCATCTGAGAAGATTAAGAAAAAAAAAAAATAAACAGAGCATCAGTTCTTTGAACCTAAAAGGTTTTTTTCTACTAAAATTTCTAGCCTCAAATTCTCAACTAATGAAGAATGTTTATCTTTGTTTTAAACTCACTTCATTTTCCCAATAAAATATTATCAAAAAAGTTAGTACATTATAAAATAAGATAATAAAATATAACACATTATCCTTCAATAAATTACAACATATCCATTCAAAAGACGGTGTTGCTGAATCAAAGAAAAAGATGGGAGCTCTTACCTGTATAGTACGAATGAATGATACAGAGACTCTTTCTTCAAACTCATTAACTGGGGTATACAAATTCAATACTTTGACAATCTGTGAGAAATGAAATGATCAAAGTTTTTGGCATATCAATACACACTGAGTACCTAAATCTGAAAAACTGAAAGGATCTGTGGGTACAGATTTCAGTTCTACTCAGGGATGGTCTGGAACCATAAGGAAGGAGAAGCTGGTCTGCTCATTTACCTTTGTTATTTGAATTTTTACAAAAGACTGTATAAAGGTAATGTTTGTGTAATAATGTAGGAAGCCGTATAAACTTAGAAGAATATTCAAACAGCGTTAAGAGAATAAAACATGAAAAATAAATGTCCCCACTCCCATCCTTCCACTCTCCCAAAGTGGCAATTGTTAACTATGCACTGAACCTTCTAGCTGCTATTCATATTCTAGTTCATATTATTTTTATTCAAATGGGATTCCTTCCGTTATTACCATTCTTCAACTTGTTTTCACCATAAAAAATGTTAGCTATATTAATATAATTATCTCTTTTGACTGTTTTTTAATCATATATTTTTTTTTTTTTTTTTTTTGAGACGGAGTTTCGCTCTTGCTACCCAGGCTGGAGTGCAATGGCGCGATCTCGGCTCACCGCAACCTCCGTCTCCTGGGTTCAGGCAATTCTCCTGCCTCAGCCTCCTGAGTCGCTGGGATTACAGGCACAAGCCACCATGCCCAGCTAATTTTTTGTATTTTTAGTAGAGACGGGGTTTCACCACGTTGACCAGGATGGTCTTGATCTCTTGACCTCGTGATCCACCCGCCTCGGCCTCCCAAAGTGCTGGGATTACAGGCTTGAGCCACCGCGCCCAGCCCTTTTAATCATATTTTTTATAAAACATCATAAATAACACGAATAACAAAAGCCCCTAAAGAAATTACCAACTACTTAGAGAGTATGAAGTTATTTTTCAAAAAGTCCAATTATTTCTTTTGTAAAATGGTCATGTCTATTTAAAATAAATAGACTTTTCTAATTAAAGTAAATCATTGTCTATATAAGGTAGACATTTCCATTTTCAAGGTATTGTCTAAAGCTGTGCTGTCCAATACAATAGTAGTCACTAGCCACAGGTGGCTATTTAAATAGCACAAAATGAAAATAATAGTTGAATGCAGGACAGTGCTGATCTATAGGAAAATAAATTAAGGACCAGAGAGAGATGAATTAGAAAGTGGGCACATTTATCAGGTCTGTGGGTGACAAAGTGAATCAGGGATCAGTCCCTCAGAGGCAAGTATTTGAATTTTAAAAAGTAGAACCACTTTGTTTACTAACATTTGCTAAATAAATAAATTGTAGGTCTGCCTTACTCTGTGAAATATGCTTAAAGTATATTTAAGGATTAAAGTATATTCTTTAGAAGTTGAATGACAGACAACTTCTATAAAGTTGGGCTTCCTCCAGTGTATTCTTACTTTCCACACTTGAAGAAACTGGGAGGAAATCTCAAGACCATTGTTCAATAGGATAGTTCTGCTTTATTTTTAGCAATAACTTATGCAAATATCAATTCAACATTAAGAAACTACAAATCTTGATTCTGATTATCTACTGAGCTTTTGTTTGTTTTTCTGAGATGGAGTCTTGCTCTGTCACCCAGGCTGGAATGTAGTGGCACAATCTCGGCTCACTGCAACCTCTGCTTCCTGGGTTCAAGCCATTCTCCTGTGTCAGCCTCCCAAGTAGCTGGGATTATAGGAACCTGCCACCACACCAGGCTAATTTTTGTATTTTTGTAGAGACAGGATTTAACCATGTTGGCCAGGCTGGTCTTGAACTCCTGACCTCAGGTGATCTGCCCGCCTTGGCCTTCCAAAGTGCTGGGATTACAGGTGTGAGCCACCACATCTGGCCTGATTGAGTTTTAATTGTATTGGGCAAAACTGAAAATTTCATATGTTATAGGACATATGATAAACATTAAGAAAGTCTTCCTTTAGATATCTTACTATAGAATTTGCTAGAGTCTCTATGATAGAGTCACCTGGATACAAGTCTGTCTTCCCTACTAAACTGTAAGCTCCTTGAAGGCAGAAATTTTTCCTTATTTATTGAGGCATCTTCCCCAGCAATAAATATGGTGCCTTCAGATGGAGGTTCAATTACACTTGTTGAAGTAACAACTATCTGTCTTTAAAAAAAAAAAGTGATTATTTGATAATCCACTCAATTATCAAATAATATGGAAAGCTATTTTATGGAATATAAGCTGCATAGACTGTATACTCCATGAGAGCAGAGACTTTGCTTTGTCTATGTATCCCAGTGCCTTCAATGTTATATAGAACACTGTAAGCACTCAGCAAATACTTGCTGAATACTGAACACATTTAACTGTAATTACCACTGAAATGCATTAATTTCTGGCAAAATCTCCTTGCTTTAAGATTGGTACAGGCATATCTTCTTGGACAGAGATGAAGGCAGCTCAGAGATACAAGCAATAAGTAGAAAACTTTTTTACTTCCCTAAAGATCATCTTTGATGAATGTTAAATTATTTCATAACAGAGAGAATTGCTCTACCTGGGCAGTAGTTAAAGCATTGCACATAGAACAAATGGCTTCTGCATCATCATCTGTTTTCTTTTTCACTTGCAAAAGTTGAGCAGCCTGAATGAGAGGTTCCAGGGTTTCTTTAGCTCCACTGTTCATCAGATTCTTGTCACGCAGCCATTCTTCCAGTTGACTGACATTGTACCTATGAAAAGAAAAAAAAAAGAGAGATACAGAGAATGCAAATTTGCTGAATATTGTCAAAATGTCTTAATTTTGGTGTGTGTGGCCTTGTCAGGATTTCTGTTAAAATGACAGGCAGTATTTTTGTTCAATTTTCTTAAATCTCATCAGCTGTGCTTAAAAATTTATTATAGTCATGAGGATTATAATCATCATTATATAAGATTAAATGACAAGACAATGTAATTCTCTTTACTGGAAGATGGATATAAAGTCATTATGGCAAAAGTTATTAGACTTGCTAATAAACAAAATAGAATACTTAATGTAGCTCTGCCAGAAAACACTTTGTAGCTTCTCTCACAATTTCAGAGCTGGGTTACCGTTGCAGGATGAGACTTGATAATCCTTGAAGTACTTTCTCTTAAGGCAAACTCCAAATCAGGTAACTGAATAACTAGAAGCCCCAACATATACCTGTGCTCAGGCCTTAAGGGAAGAGCCTAGGAGATGAAGACACTGGCCCAAGAAAGCTGCAGGGTGAAGGAAAAGAGGGCCCTTGGAAGAGACAAAGACTCAAAATGGGGACAGAGACAAACTACAGACACTGAGATTTCACAAAGTAGCCAACCAGTGGCAGCGGTCCTAAGACTAAGGTCAACGGGCACACAGTCAGCACTTAGCAACCAGGCAAATAGGATCCAGCATAATATTATGACAGGTGGCTCCACATTCCACGTAGAGCTTATGGATAAATATGTTCTATTATCTAAGAGGAAGGCATTATTGTCTTTAAATTCACCACAATTCAATGTGAGTCAGGATGGAAAATTTGAAAAGAACATTAATCCTGAGATTGAGTTCCTACTAAAATTTTCATAGGAGAAATCATTTTTCCCACCTCTTGGTGAATATTCTAGCTGTTTTAAAATAAAAAATTTGTGGCCAGGCATGGTGGCTCACGGTTGTAATTCCAGCACTTTAGGAGGCTGAGGCAGGTGGATCAGCTGAGGTCAGGAGTTCAAGACCACCCTGGCCAACATGGTAAAACTCTGTCTCTACCAAAAATACAAAAATTAGCCAGGCGTGGTGGTGCATGCTTGTAATCCCAGCTACTCAGGAGGCTAAGGCAGGAGAATCTCTTGAACCTGGAGGCAGAGGTTGCGGTGAGCTGAGATTGTGCCACTGCACCCCAGCCTGGGCAACAAGAGCAAAACTCTGTCTCAAAAATAAATAAATATTAAAAAGTAAAAAAATTTGCAAAAGAATGAATTATATTACAATAATGAGGTTATGCTAAGGAGTATTGGGCATAAACTTAAGTGTAGCTTTTCTTAAATACAGAGGGAGGATATTTTAAGAATTAGTAAAATACCTATTAGACCTGTTCTTTTTGCCATAGGTACAAAAAAGTATCTTTCCAAAAATATATTTCTAAGAGCATTCAAACATTAGAAATCTTCATTATAATTTAGTAATTTCTTATTGCATAATTAAAGCACACACATTAGGAGAGGAAGCAGCTATCTCATCTTTGTGTATTTTTGTATCATCTCTTTACTTCCCCAAAGAAGCAACCTTCACAGTGGAGTAGGGTTTCCTATCAAGAATGTGAAGAACCTGTTGGCAGGGTACAGACAGGAAGCAATAATGAGATCTAGAGAAATCCAGCCAGACAAGGGAAAGTGGCTCCATGCCAGTTCCTCCCTTGCTGCTTGGCTGCATGGCCCCAGACATCAGGTACAAAGACCAAAAACAAGTCATGAGCTCTCCACAACCCTGGCAGGCCAGCCAGGCAGCAAAAAGAAGCTGTCGCAGGTGTTGGTATTCGCCCACCTGATCTGCATGCCTTTACTCCAGGAGCACATGTCCTTCCGCAGGAGTAGGTTGTTCAGGGTGATGGCCCCCACAATATAGAACATCTGCTTGACCACCTGCTTGATCAGTTCAGGGTCCATGCCGTGCTGACACATGACTGAGTGGAAGGAGTTGAGCTGCCGGAGGATGGAGTCCAGCGTGTAGGTTCCCTCGTCGGCAATACTGGAGGTTCGCTTTCTCAGCCCTGTGGGCTTCACCCCAGACACGCCCTGAATCGTTTCATGTTCCAGCATGCCTGAGACTGCAGGAGTATTTCAGTTGTTAGAGGTGAAGATGTGGAAGGAAACCTTTCATGTGCACATAACCATGTGCACAAACACACACACATTCAACTTTGGAAAACTGGCTGAGGTGGGTGGATCACTGGTGGCCAGAAATTCGAGACCAGCCTGGCCAACATAAGGAAATCCCCATCTCTATTAAAAGTACAAAAATTAGCGAGGTGTGGTGGTATGCACCTGTAATCCCAGCTACGCAGGAGCTCAGCACCACTGAGCTCCAAGCTGGGTGACAGAGTGAGACTCCATCTCAAAAAAAAAAGATCTGGGTGCCAAAATAGTGGGAAAAGGAACTTCACTACAAAAGGGCTTCTGGATTTTAAACTTTACCGAAGGAATAATTATTTATTATTTATTTATTTTGAGACGGAGTCTTGCTGTGTCACCAGGATGGAATGCAGTGGCGTGATCTCGGCTCACTGCAAACTCTGACTCCTGGGTTTAAGTGATTCTCCTGTCTCAGCATCCCAAGTAGCTGGGACCACAGGTGAACGCCACCACACCTAGCTAATTTTTGTATTTTTAGTAGAAACGGGGTTTCACCATGTTGGCCAGGATGAGGAATAATTCTTAAATGCAAAAATTTACTATGAATTTAAGTAAACTTAATGGTGTATTTTCTAAAATAAGAAGCATAAGAAGCAGTAGCCTTGTGATAGCACAATAGTATGTGCCTTTGGTGGGTTTTTGAGAGATGTATGTAGTAGTCAGGATTAAGATAAGCATTCTCCATGTTATCTGAGCCTCAGAGGCAAAAACAGTAAGAAAGGCAGGGCACTGATAATCATCTTGGAGAAGATGTGGGAGAGAGGAGTAGTATGGGGCTGGAGAGCTGGGCCCTTTCTTGTTCTGGGCTTCCCACAATAGCAGTGAGACCTTAGGCTGACCTCAGTCTCCCAGGATTCATCTTCTTACTGTGGCCCTGCTGCTTCCCTGTTGTGCTCTCTTAGCATTTGGCTTATGCCTCCCCTAGAATGTTTCTGAGATGTCCACTCCCTGACTGGGAGCCCCTTGAGAGCAAAGGCCATATCTGGTTCATCTTCCTACTTAACTGTGCTAAACACAGATTCCCTAGAACTGGTACATTTGTTGTTGCTGTTAAATGACTGGGAGATGGCGGTAATGATTTAGAGTGGGGCTTCTTCAAGGCAAATTTCTTATTTAGCCAGTAGAAACAGGCAAAGCAAAAGAAAGATTGGCTGAAGGTGACCTTCTTGGTATCTGTTACCGCCTACATTTTAGCCAACCTAAATTCATGACCTTTCAAGGGACAACTGAAGAAAACACTGCCATCTCCCATGACTTCTTCAACTTTTTATGTCTCAAATAGCTAGTTAACTGTGGCCTACGAAAGCAAAGGAAACACTATGAGTCCATAGACGGGAAATGAAATTGTGGAAATGTGGAAAATGCAAGGACCGGGAAAGGAAGCGTAGCTAGAAGTGGCCTTAAGAGCCTGCTGATAATTTGCTGGAAGGTAATAGTGTTTGGTAACTTAAAACAATTTTTTAAGATTCATGGATTAAACTGTATTTAAATATTAAACATTAAGGAAGGAAACCAGATATTACTGTTTCAGTCTTGTGGAAGGAGTGATTTTGATGCATCCCAGTCAACTACGGCTGGGTTTCTGGGATTCCTCAGCTAGGTTTGGCCCTGTATCTTACCACTTTAAGCTCCTCATATGAATACCTGCCCTGAAACATGTGCCACTGGTGGCTACTTACTGACAGGCACGAGTGATAGGCAGGCTGCGATGCCCAGTGGGGCCCTGGCCTTACCAATCATTGGCTGAAGGATGTTCTCTAACACCCGCACGAGCTGCTGGTAGATCTGAATGGCCAAGTCACTCAGCACCTGCCGATACTCAGCCAGGTCAAAATTGGTGAGGCAGTGTTCATTCTGGCGAGATGTGTTGTGCTTCATAAAGCCCTAGAGTCATAATGCAAAGTTAATGATACACGTGAAGTAACCTGTCTCTTTAGTTTAACCATCTCCAATCTGATCAGCATCTTAATGCTCTTTTCCCCTCTGTCCGAGGAGCTTCCCCACTACAATGCCAGGACTGACATTCTCAAATGCTGATGTGTGTTTGTTTGCTTCCATCATACCTGCCTCCACTTCTTACTAGTTTTTCAGTAATACCTAAACTTGGCAACCTAGCATTTAAATCTTCCCAATACAATGTCAATGAAATTAATTGGAGGAATTTAAATTAAAAAAAAAAAAAAAACCAAAGTGAGCGTTTCACTTCTGAAACAGGAGGTTTACTGTCAAACACTAAATTATCTAAAGTACTAATCTCTTAACTTCAGTTCATTAAATATAGTCCTGTTCTTAAATACTATACCCAAAGGACACACATAATCTTGAAATAGCCCAATTTCTACAGAGACTGGTGAATACATACAAAAATTTCCCTTTACTATATTTTGTGGTACCCATACCATGGTTTTCAGTCAGAGGTTAGAAGGGCATCTTTGGTGTTATCTGTTAAAATGGAACTGAATGGGCAGTTTAACACGTTGCTTGCCTGATGCTGCCTGATAAAGGATTCTCCCCAGAGCCAAGCATCTGCCTCCTTACCACCTACTTAATGACTGGTCCAAATATGGGGACTGACAGGACACAATCAGTCCCTCTGGGGGATTCTGGTCTGTCGGCCCCATCTTCTCAGGGACCAGGCCTTGTTCATCTCTGTGTCTCCCATCATCTGCCAGGACAGGCCCAGGCCTCTGGGTGCTTGGGAAGTGCTGCTGGGGACCTTCTCTGCTGCCCTCCTGGCAAAGGGATGGAAGGTACTGAGGGCAGTCGGTTAGGGTCATGGGACCTCAGCTGTGTCAGACTCAGACCCAGGATCCCATCTCTGCTCCTTGTGGCCAAGAGAACTTGGGCAAATCAATGAGCCCTAGTAAGCCTTGGCTTCCTCATCTATAAAACTGGGCTATAATTCCCACCTCACAGGGATGCTGTAAGAATCATCATAAATAACATCATGCGTAGTAAGTGCTAACACATACTAAACAGCCCTTAATAAATAGTCATTATTAATATTCTACATAGTTTTGAAATATTTGAAGTCTATCAAACAACTAATGAACACACCCCTACAAAAAAAAAAAAACACAACAGATATTTTTGGACAAATTGAAAGAGATGATCTTTGATCACCTTTTAATGTATTATTAAGCCAAAATTGATTAATTTCTTTAAATAGTTCACTATTCTGATATGAGCTCCTGAAATGCCCACTAAAACATATTGACAACAAGTTTCACTTCTGGTAACTATTCACTGACCAATGCTTTATTTTTTTCTATGCTTTCTTATAATATAAAAAAGAAACTGTCATTCTCCAAATCACTGTTTCATAGATAGTGAATATCAAACAAAGCAATGAACTTCTAAGCCACCTCTGAATTTGTGTTTCTAAAGTAAGAAATGATTAAACATCGCTTCTTGGCCTTTTGGCTAAGATCAAGTGTAGAAATGATTAAACATTTTGTGCTTTTACATGTTTCCTTAAAAAGGTCAGAGAAAGTATAGCATGCTGGTTTTGTAATCAAGGTTTTCTCACCTCTTCTCCACTGTACTGCTTCAAGCAGTGCAAAAATCGGCATGTGTTAGAGAGCCAGAAGGAGACGGTTTCAAAATCATCACCTCTTTTCTGAAAGAGAGAATAAGTCTAAATTTGTCTTTTCCTCAGGGAAATAACAACCTAAAAAAAATTGAACAGATACCAAAGGACCCATTTCTTTCAGTTGCCATTATAAACAATTATAAAAATAAATCACATTGTAGTTGTGAAGTCTTAACGTCATCGCTATCAGAATGTCAGCCACCAGGTTCATTAGTTGTTGCTTTGCTTGCCATTCACTTTTTTGGCATAGAAAATGAAACTGATGTGAATTTAGCTGTTCCTTTAAGCAGGAAAAAATCTACCCAGCTGGGCACAGTGACTCACACCTGTAATCCCAGTACTTTGGGAGGCTGAGGCAGGTGGATCACCTGAGGTCAGGAGTTCAAGACTAGCCTGGCCAATATGGTGAAACCTCATCTCTACTAAAATACAAAAATTAGCTGGGTGTGGTCCCAGCTACTTGGGAGGCTGAGAAAGGAGAATCACTTGAACCCGAGAGACGGAGATTGCAGTGAGCCAAGATCCTGCCACTGAACTCCAGCCTGGGCAACAGAACGAGACTCTGTCTCAAAAAAAAAAAAAAAAAAAAAAATTCACTCAGCCACAGCTGATGGAAACTCATGTCCCTTGGGGTTAACGATGGGAATCAGAACCAAAAGCACAAAGAGGAGTAACTAGTATTGTGAGAAACAATATGAAAAAGAATTTGAAGCACTTAAACCCAGACTAGATTAAAAATCTTGTCAAAGGTAAGATAAAATTTCTGTGCTGTGAATCGAAAGATGAGATGGAGGAAGTCCTGCACTGAGCAGCACAGTCAGGGGAAAGCTGATTGGCTCTTCACCAGGACTGGGCCACCATGGCAGGAAGAAGAGACACTCACTGTGCCTGAAAAAGACATTGGGCTGGGAATACCTCCCAGAGGCTTCATGGCAGACATACCTGGAAGGACTATGCATTTGTAAACTAAATCGTTTAGATGAACTAATCCCAGTTTGGATATGGGAAGTCAAAGAAATATCAAAATTTGCCTACACTTTTTCTCAAAAACCCTGCAAAGGAAAACCAGAATAGTTTATCTAGGACAGGTACCTAGCATTAAATGATCTTAGAAGCTCTTTTTTTTTTTTTTTTTGCAAGAAATCATATATTCCAATGACTCTATTACTATATCACGACAAAACCCAGGTTCTTAGAAGCTGTATGAGAGTATCTGCCTTTGGTTTCTTGGTAGTGGCTTTATGCAGTAAAAGTGTACAGGATATATCATAGGGAAAGATGGGTTTGTCATAATATCATTGTTTTTTACATAAATAAAATCAAATTTTTAAGAAAGCATAAAACACCCTTAAATTTTTTTTTTTCTTTTTTTTAAGATGGGGTTTCACCATGTGGGTCAGGCTGGCCTTGAACTCCTGACCTTAGGTGATCCACCCGCCTTGGCCTCCAAAATGCTTGGATTATAAGCGTGAGCTACCACGCCCGGCCAACACCCTTAAATTTTGTAGAATATTCCCCTAAAAAGATTTTAAGAAAAAAATCCTAGAGGATATCGAATCTAACTAAGTCTTTTAAGCTGAGACAGAATGACTGAGTTCAGGTCCTGATTTTCTCACTAAGTAAATATCTGAAAGACCCAGCTATGTAGTCTTCCAGTGAAGGAGGACTGCCAGTAAATAAAATTTTATTACATTCCCAAACACAGAAAATCATCCTATAGCTGAAGCGCAGATCTGACCAAAAATAACTCTGCCTCTTCCAAAAATCTGGATTACAACTGTTCCTAGTGGAAGCTCTGAGATAAGCTGGCAAAGACAATGAAAGCAGGTTGGGAAACTGTGCTGGTCACTGTTGGGCTGTGGGAGAGTGTCGCTAAAGCACCAATCTAGACTGTCTTCACTGACCTCTACACAAATCAAACTGCAGAGATCTTCAGAATAGCCTCAGATGGATGTAACTGCACCTATACTAAAGAGTTACCAGATAAAGGTGATTAAAACCTAAGGAGAAGACTTCATTATAGAAATAATTTGGCATCTGTTTTCATTAGTGAGCTCCAGCCTTTGCTAAGCTGCTTTTTTTTTTTTTTTTTTTTTTTTTTTTGAGACAGCGACTCATTCTGTCTGTCATCCAGGCTGGAGAGCACTGCCATGACCATGGCTCGCTGCAGCTTTGACCTCCCAGGCTCGAGTGATCCTCCTACCTCAGTTTCCCCAGTAGCTGGGACTAAATGAACATGGCACCATGCTTGGCTAATTTTTAAATTTTTTGTAGAGACAGGGTCTCGCAATGTTGTCAGAGTTGGACTCAAGCAATCCTCCTGCCTATGCCTCTCAAAAGTGCTGGGATTACAGGCATGAGCCACAGCACCCAGCCCACTTTTAAACAATATAACTCAACAAATATAATTTGAACACTAAGGGTGTCTGCTGTCCTCATGAAAATGAGATACTCTATATTACTTCAAAATGAAAGAACATTTACTTCTTTGGAGATTAAAAAAATATTAAAATTGAATGCCAACTCTTTACCTAAGAGGTTACCAGATTGAGTTTATCAAAGTAATATTTTCTATAATAAACAAGCTGTATTTGATCAAAATTAATAAATCCATGTTAGTTCTTACTCTATCTCATAGAGAAAACAAGTTGAATTCAAAGCTATTTGCAGTTTTTATCAGAAATTATCATAAGCTAAAAACTGTATGGATTCTCTATGTATCTTTGACTAGTTACGCTGTGTAGGGCTGATGGCAAAAAAACAGTTGCCAAAGTTGAAACAGGTATGCAAGACAAATACACAATTCAAAACTGGGATGTGGGACGAATTCACATTAACTTAAAATGGTATTAAACAGTGTTATGTTCTAGTACCCACTCATTTTTAATCTTTACACGATTTGGTATGATAGTCAAACCAGTTAAGTATCTTCTTGCAATTGTGATGACAGAAAGAAAACTTTATGATTCACTTTTTTTTCTCTCTAGGAACTGGCCTAAAAGGTAGCAAAACTTGTAGTTTATCTAAGTGCAAACTGCATCAACACACTAAAAATAAAATGATTTATGTCTGGAAAACATTCATCAAGTTTTAAATACTCAATCTTCAGAAACTCCATGCTTCAGTAACCACTGTAGAGTGTTAACGACAGAAAGTATCTGCACAGTAGGGACTGACAGAGAACCAGCATCTGTCAAAAGTTCACCCTCCAGGGCTGCAGGAGGGAGGAATGGGGAGTTAGTATTTAACGGGTACTGCATTTCAGTATGGTGAGGATGAAAAGCTCTGGAGATGGATGGTGGTGATGCCTGTACAACAGTGTGAACACAATGCTACATAGCTGAACACTTGAAAAGGTGAATATGGTAAATTTTATGTTATATATGTTTTACCTAATTTTTTTTAAAGTTCATAAAAGAAGTCTTGCATTTGAAAGAGTCCACTGGGCATGCTGGCTATCCACTTATCTTTACCCTAAAAGTTCTCATTAAGTTCGATAATCAGAAAGCAAAGGACTTGCAGCACATGACCTGAGCTCCTCACAACAACACTGAGTTAAAACTAAGCCTGTGCTCACTGTTTCTCTGGAGTCAAGAGGGGGATTATGCAAGGTGACTCAGTGACTACCGAGTTGTGTAGGCTTTCTGCTCAGTTATGTAACTTTGCTATCTTTTCCAAGTCTCTCTTCTCTGATTAGCATCTGTGTGTTGCTTCCCACATGGAACCTCACATTTTAGGTAACAGGGAAACTTATGGGGTGAGGTGGAGAAAAAGTTGGAAGAAAAATTTTAATGTTTTATCAGACCTCTTTTTATATGAAAGAGCCATGTCTTAAACTTATTTAACATTTATTTTAATTTCAGTATTACATTTCCTGTATACGTGGATTCTACTAAATATTTTTAATTTAGTTCTAAGTAAAACATCAAACTATATCTGTTCATGAATAAACTTAGTATACAGGACAGTTAAATGCAGTTATGCCAAGTTAATTTTGATTACCGTTCAACTTAAACCCTGTTTTGAAAGAAGGCAGATACACATGTTCAAGGAAGAATGTTTCTCCCAGTAGAAGTTTTCACTCAAGACTGAAAAGTGGCTGTGTGCAGTGGCTCATGCCTGTAATCTCAGTACTTTGGGAAGCTGAAGGTGGAGGATCACTGGAACACAGGAACTGGAGACCAGCCTGGGCAAAACACTGAGACCCTGTCTCTAAAAAACATAACAAATTAGCTGGGTGTGGTGGCGTACAACAGTGGTCTCAGATACTTGGGAGGCTGAGCTGAGAGGATTGCTTGAGGCTGGGATTGCACCAGGGCTGCAGTGAGCTGAGATTGCACTACTGCATGCCAGCCTAGGTGACATAGCAAGACCCTGTATCAAAATAGATAGATAAGTAAATAAAAACTGGAAAGTGTTCATAACAAGCAACTTAGCTAAAGTCTAAGGAAGGAAAAGCAATCAGTGCAGATTCTGTCATCTTTAACAATTCATAACGAGAATTTTGTTGAACATGAACTGACCTTCAATACTTTTTTGATGCTGTTAATTGTTGATGTTAGCAGCGACCTTACTTTCTGATCATCATTCAGGTAGTCAGCATGTCGAACACACATAAACAGGATATATGCCGGTAATCCTGGAATCAAATTGACTGCTACACCACGTGGCTTCAGTTCTAAAAAAAGAAAAAATAATAATTTTATATAACATGGATAATTTTTGTAAGGCATGCATTGTGAGATATAAAAGCACAGTTGTCATGTAAGAATTCAATCATTCAAGGTAAACAGGTAATATAAAAAGGGTATTTTAATAGCTCATTAAGTAGAAAAATTCTAGAGTGTGGGGCATGTCTATATAGTGACAACTCCCAAACTGATATCTCCTGTGCTGACTTTCCCCTTGAACTCCAGTCTCACTATCAATTGCCTTCTTGACCTCTCTTCTCAGGCACATGAAACTAAGCCTCTACCAAACCCATCTCTTGCTTCCCTATGGAACCTACTTTTTTGGAAGTTGTCCCCATCTTAGTAAATGAGTGGCAGCTCCAGTCTTTTAGTATCCTAGGTTATAAGCCTCATGTTCATTTTTGACTCCTTTCTTTTCTCATACCACATATCCAATCCATCAACAAATCCTGTTGGCTCTATATACAAAATATGTCCAAATCCAACTACTTTTCACTGTCTACCAGCTACAGACATCCCATGGAGGCCACCGTCATCTCCTGCTGGGCTGCTGCAATAGCTCCCTAACTTGCCTCCTTCATTCATCACTCGCTCCCCAGTAGTGCATTTTCCATACAACAGTCAGAGCCATTCTTTTGGAACATATTGGTCAGATGATGTTACTCTTATTCTGAGGATCCTCCATGCAGCTTCTCATCTCGTGCATTTATAAAAGCCAAAATCCTTACCATAGTCCATATTCCCTTCCTCACTCCAGCTCACTCTGCTCCAGTCAAATGGGTCTCCTTGTTGTTGGTTGAACATGCCAGGTATGCTCCCTGCCCAGGGCCTACATGCTTATTATTTTTCTGCCTTGAATGTTCTTTCTTTAGATATTAGCATGACCTGTTCATTTACTTCCTTTGGTGTATGTCCAAAGATCACCTTACCAAAGAGTGTTTCCTGAAAATTTTACATAAACCAGTACACCTGCCTTCACTCTTTCTTCTTTTTACTCCATCACATCCTATATTTGTTTCTTTTCTTTATTTCTCCCCTGGAATGTAAACTCTGTGAGAATGGGTACTTCACTTTGCTCATTACCTAGAAAATGCTTGGCACATGATAAGAGTTCATTAAACATTTGCTGAATTGATAAATCTGTTAATTCTATTTTTAAAAACCAGTGACTCCTTAACATTTTTGCTAAATGAAATTCATGTTGAAACTTAAGCAACTCTGCACCTATATATAGTACTAAGTTTAATGCTAGGAACATTCAATCAGATATAAGTGCCAATCACGTTGCTGTCACCCAAGCACCTGGCAGGAGGAATGCTGTGCAAAGGCTGAAAGGAGAGGTTTTTAGGATTTTCGCTTCACAACTTACAGTGTGCACGCTAGTCATTCACCAGCACCCTCTAAAAAGTCTTCTTGCAAAGCCAGCAGGCTCAGACCCAATCTTAAAGGCAGTGTGCTGCTCTGAAATGCTTCTTCTACTCCCATCTCATTTGTTCTGTCCATTTCTTCCTTTGTTAGAATCTTTTCCTTGTTTCTTTTTCTTTTGTTTCTTCCCTATTATTATGCTGTTGTCCTTGACCTAATTAGTTGCAAACCTTTCTAGGTGATTAAGGAAACACTGAAATTTAGGAACCTAAATGGCCTACAGAAGTTGTGCTCAACCATGGTTACACTTAAGAATCCCTTGAGAAGTTTTTTATTTTTATATTTGAGACAGACTCTTGCTCTGTAGCCCAGGCTGGAGTGCTGTGGTGTAATCACAGTTCACTGTAGTCTTGAACTCCTGGACTTAAGTGATCCTCCCACCTCAGCCTCTTGAGCATCTAGGACTACAGGCATGCACCACCACACCTGGCCAATTTTTTTTTTTTTTTTTTTTTTTTGAGAGATGCTGTCTTGCTATGTTGCCAAGGCTGGCCTTGAGGGGTTTTTTAAAAAAGTACTAGACATTGCTAGGCAAAGATTTTGATTTAACTGGGCAGGAGGGAGAAATACATCAGTATGGTTCAAAGCTTCCAGGTGATTCTAATGTGCAGCCAGGGTTGAGAAGACCTGATCTAGAGCAATCCTTGTAGGTGGGTCTGAGGCACGTGTCCCAGCAGTTGGACTGAAAGTGCTTGGTATGGTCAGGACACTACTGCAGCACTAGAATACATGGTACGTGATGAGGACTAATGAAACCTATGTTGAATATTACAAAAATTAGTGACTAATTTTTCCCACCACTGACCTATGTGCCAGAAATAACTTTTATCCAATGCAGAAAATACTTGCCCAGAATCAGGTTCTTAACAAGTTTTTGCTCATCCTCCTTCTTGTATTCCAGCATTCCTTGGAAATCCTTTTCTTTCCTGGGAATGTTGACTGGTCGAATGGGTTCATCAATGATCTGTCCTGGAGATATGTTCTCCATCTGGCCCACTTGATGAGAAGTAAGAAAGAAGGAGAAAATGTTTTCCACATAGAAAAGCTGAGAGGCCTCCAAGTTCCTATAATTTTGAATGCACTCTACAACAACTGAAACTTGCCATATTTGCCACTTAATTGCCTCCTCTTAAAATGTTTGTTTTTTCTGTTCAAATTAGTCAAACAGATGGCAAAATTATATGGTAATCTTACTCTGAAAGCCACTCCTACCTAACCATAAATTAACATCAAATAACCTTATGTGATTCAAAACCTTTTTTTAATGTAATAAGGTTTATTTTTAATAAGATTAAATGTCCAAAAAATAAGTGGTTTAACATATTTGTTAACTGATACTAATCAGAAATGGTCAAACATATTTTGACTTTATTCACGGGAGAAATAATCAATATCCTACAAAGGGGCAGCAGGAACAGAAACAATTCCCCCTTGCCCTTGGCTCAATGACTTCAGTCATTAAAAGCAAAAGAACATTTACTTTAAATGTATCATTACAATCAGTTCAAAGCACCTGCAGATAGCTGGTAGAAGAGCGTTTCTTCATACCACTTGATGCAAAATGTATTATTTTTCACAAAGGCCTCATATGGCAAAGACCTAATTTTCTCCTGCCACCTCATTCCCAGACAAATCGCAAGCAGATAAACTATCTCTATGTAGTATGATTTCCTAAATGTTATTATTATTTTTTAAATAGAATGTTAAAAATTCTACTATGAAGTTGCAATCAATGAAGTACAACCACTGGTTTACAATGCTTTCAGATGTTAAAGATGGTCACTATTGTCAAGGGCAGCAGCTAGAGAAGAATTATGCTAAAAGTAAAAACAAAAAGTCTCCAATTTCATCTCACAATTGAGACTTGAATGGGAAATGCAACGAAAAGTAAAGAGACACATGAGTTATCAGCCACTGTGGAGATATATGCTAGTAACCAGGTTTTTTTATCCTTTTCTCTACAGGGAGGGAGAGTGGTTAAGAGATTTAAGCGCAGATTAAGTTTAAATTCTGAGATTGCTGTCAAACAAAATGCAGATCAGATGCAAAAACATTAGAAAGTTTAATGTTGCTGACTCCACGAGGTGTCAGTAGTGTTTCTGGTGTCATTTTGGGCAATTTCCTGGGTTAGTTCTGAGAAGCTAGTTCTGCAGGAAGAGGTTATCACAGAGAACATCAGTACCTGCCAGTGCTCTTGCTTATGTGGCACGGAGCCTTGGTGACACACCGTCCACCTCATGCTGTAGCAGCACACACTGGGACTATCAGCGCTGAAATCTGGTGTAGGTGAAGTCACCACCATCCAGCAACACTATGATATCTAAAGAGTGGTCAGATTGTGATTGGACAGTTCAGGGCTATGGCCGTCTCCCATAATCTAGTTTTTCATAAGCATGATCCAGTCTGAAAGTCACGGGACTAACTGTAAAGTGTATTCTTCCATACAAGAAAAGAAGTGATTCAAACTGTGTGGTTTTACATAAACTATTTCTGGTGTCAGTTTAAATACAACACCACAAGGACCTCTGAAGCAGCACACAGTGAATCATAAGCCTGCTGCTGCATGTAAAAAACAAAATAATAAAACCCCTGTCGTCTGTGTCACTAGTAACTTTAAGCCGCACATACAATTTCAAAAAAGGGAAACTGGAGTGAAAACAAGTTCAACATACTAGGTTTATCAATAATTACACATATTTGGACTCCATGTAACCCAAGGAACATATTTTAAACCGACTGATTTATCAAATCTATGATTCTACCAGTTATAAAATACAGTATTTTATATAACACTAATTTTTTAAAATGCCAACTGAACTATAACCCATCAACAACTGTTAAGACATGGGAAACACTGTGCATCTCAGAATTTGTGAAATACGATGGATATTTTTACTAAGAAAGTTTCTGTTTTTTAAAAAAAAGCTTCACCTTCCTTTTGCAAAATCTCTAACCAGGATATTTTTGGTGCTATATAAAAATGTCAGATAAAATTTGCCATACTCTCAATAAAAATTTTCTCCCTGCCTCTGAATTCCCCCTGGGGACTTAAGTCTTTGCAAAGCTCACAAATAAAATATAGATGTCAGTTCAACATAACCTTGATAGATTTAGCAATATTAACTACTAATTAAAATAAAATGTCAACCTTTACGTAGCATCAGGCAAATATGGTACCTCAAAGAGATAAGGCAGGACACCACCGTAGTTTTCAAACACTCAAGAGACCTTGGTGGTTGCTACGGATTGAATGTTTGCATTCCCTCCCATGGGAAACTCATCTTTAATGCAACAGTATTAAGAGGTGGGACCTTTAGGAAGTGATTAGGCCATAAGCGCTCTGTCCTTATGGATGAGATTAGTGATCTTATAAAGAGGCTGGAGGGCCAGGTGCAGTGGCTCATGCCTGTATTCCCAGCACTTTGGGAGGCCAAGGTGGGCCGATCACTTGAGGTGGGTTCAAGACCAGCCTGGCCAACATGGTGAAACCCTAACTCTACTAAAAGTAGAAAACATTAGCCGGGCATGGTGGCACATGCCTGTAATCCCAGCTACTTGGGAGGCTGAGGCAGGAGAATCGCTTGAACCGGGGAGGAAGAGGTTGCAGTCAGCCGAGATTGTGCCATTGCATTCCTGCCTGGGTGACAAAAGCAAAACTCCGCCTCAAAAATAAATAAATAAAGAGGCAACTAGGAAATTAGTGGACCTTAGGTGTGTGCTCCAGTCCTACCATCTCACCTGCTGTGACTGTGGGTCACTTACAGACCTTAGTTTTTTCCTCTCATGAAATAACCAGTTGACTTCTAGAATCCTTTCATGTCTAAATTTCTTGATTCTATGAAAATTAAGATGGAACAGTCACCCCCGAATGAAAATATAGCACAAAGCAGATCAAATTTTGAAACACTCTCCATTTAGCTATAGTTTTTGCTAAAAAGTATATATGCTAGCAATTTTTTAAAAGTCTCTGTTGGCTTTTAAAAAAGTCTCCTTAATTAAATGTAGATTGCAGGAAGAGGCAAGAGTTGTGCTATTTTGAACCAAAAGGATTTAAGTGTGTTGGAATACATTTAAAGAAAAGCATAAGACAACGTTTAGTTATTAGATGATGCCTGTATTTTCTGTGTAACACAGAGATACAAGGATGAAAAGTGTCACCTTGATTCTCTTTATTTGGGGTAGAAGCAGGGACACTATACTCAAGTGCCCAAGTCACATAAATCTATTTCATTTCATTCTCTAGATATGTATCACTTAATTCAAAATATCACTCTTCCTTTTTTTTCTTTTTGTATTTTTTAGTATAGATGGGGTTTCACATATATATGTGTTCACTATATAACACATCTATATAGTATAGATGTGTTAGCCAGGATGATCTCAATCTCCCGACCTTGTGGTCTGCCCACCTAGGTCTCCCAAAGTGCTTAGAGCCACTGCACCTGGTCCTATAACTCAATTCTTAAGAAGTATTATAATGTCTTTTTTTGTTTGATCTATGAATCGCTATTTTCAAATGCTACTTATAGCTTGATGGCTGTCTGATAGTTTAACTGATGAGGTTGATTTCTGATTGACACGGCTTAAGATTAGTAATATCTTAAAATGGTCTAACCTGTCTCTTCAATTAAAAAATATACATATCAAAGAAAACTAATAAAAATTATATAAAATAATAAATGGCTTTTCTGTTTATCAAACTTTACTAAAGTATGGCAAAGGAATCATTAGGAATTACACAAAGAATCTCACTAGTTAACACACTTAAAATGTGTTTTTTTCCAAGCAAATACTCTGCTATCTGATTATCATCTCATGATATAATTAGTGCAGGGTTAAGTGCAAAAAGTTCTCTGAATAAAGATTTTTAAGTTCTGCTAATAGACATAGCTCACACACTCACATAGTGTGTGTGAGTGTGTGATTTGGAGGCTCAAGTTTTAATGTAATATATGACTCATGTAGTGCTAAAGGATTATATATAAAGTATGACTACAGAATAATCTTTCTGATTTCTAAACAAATATTTGTTTAGAAATATTTCAGTATTTGTACATCCAAGGGAGTAATATCCTTTACAAAGTAAATGTCCATGTTACCATGTTCTGAATATTTCTGAAACTTAATCACTCAACAAACATTTATGGAATGATTGTGTGATAAGTCAGACACTATGCTAGGTGGTGTGAAAGCAAAGGGAAATAGAGATGTTTCCTATGCTCAAGAAGCTCAGAGTCTACTATGGAAACCAGTAATTCAAACAGAAAAATTGCTAAAAATATGACATAGTGAAGACCATAAAAGATGTCAGCCAAACTGTGGTACACAGAGGGCAGAACCATAATGTCTGTCTGGGTAATAAGGAAAAGCTGCTCTTAAGGATGTGACTTATGACTCTGGTTTCAAAGGCTGAGCAGGACTTAACCAGGAGAAGCAAGATGGCTAAACAGAAGGAGCAGTTATGACAAGGCCTGGCACGTTGGAGGAATGAAAACCACACTTAGAGTTAAATCATTACAGATTCTTTTGAACATCCTCAGTGATGGGGAATCTTCACTGTTTGAACCAAGCAAGAATTAAATGCAGAATGACAATGAGAGGAAATTATTAACAGTTCACACAATTTGAAGGCAATTCCATGGAGTATCTCAAAATCCCTTGAGCAATGAGAACATTGAAATAAGCTTAGAATTTGGCTTTAGGCTGGGTGCGTGGCTCACACCTGTAATTCCAGCACTTTGGGAGGCCAAGGTGGGCAGATCACAAGGTCAGGAGTTTGAGACCAGCTTGGCCAACATGGTGAAACCCCATCTCTACTAAAAATACAAAAATTAGCTGGGCGTGGTGGTGTGCACCTGTAATCCCAGCTACTCAGGAGGCTGAAGCAGGACAATCGCTTGAACCCGGAAGGTGGAGGTTGCAGTGAGCTGAGATTGCGCTACTGCACTCCAGCCTGGGCAACAGAGCAAGACTCTGTCTCAAAAAAAAAAAAAAAAGAATTTGACTTTAGTCTTGTTCACTGCTAGATCCCTGTACCTACAACTCTTAACGAATAAACATACTAATATAAAAGATGAGATTCATTTGTATATAAATAATAACAACTGATATTTGGTTATTTCTCAAGAATAACCAAGTATAGATTTCGTGAGATGTTTTAAAAATCTTATCATAATTCATATTTTTCTCATTTACTTCTCTTTTTTTCCTCCATTAGACTATAAGTTCTTTGAGGACAGACTCCTGTCATACTCGTCCTAGTATCCCTAATACTAAGAATAATAGTAATAAGTAATAACTAAGTTTATGAAGCATTTTTACTATGTATCGCAAATTCTTCTAAGTATAATATACTTATTAGGTTGATACAAAGGCATTTGTGGTTTTTGCCATTAAATGTAATTGCCTTTGGACCAACCTAATAGCTCATTCAATCCTTATAAACCAAGTCAGATGGATGCTATTATCATTTTCATTTAACAGATGGGAAAACAGAGGGATACAGAGGTTCAGAAACTTGCCCAATATCATATGATTAATAAGTAGAAGAGCTAGGATTTGAATTCAAGAAGCTTGACTCCAGAATCCATACTATAAACCCCTGTGCTATACTGCCTAGCACATTGTCTGGCATATAGAAGATATTCATTAGATGCTTACAGAATAAAATCTGTAAATTTTACTATCATGAAAGGAACATTTTTTCTCATCTAGAAATGTAAATTTCTACTCAACAGAGATTAGTTTGCCAAAAGTCATTTTTTTGTTATTATCACTAATATTTGCATGCAAACCACTATTAGGCCACTCATATAGCCTAAAGATGAGTCTTTAGGCCAAGACTTCAATCAAAACTCAGCAACTGTCTGAAAAACATGTTTAAATACCTTCTAGTTCACCAATTTTTTTGGCAAATACTTTCAGTTGTTTTTTCAGTTTACGGACCGTCTTATCCTGTTTTTCAAGTTGTTCCATCAAATCCTAAAGATCAAAAAGAAATATATCAGAAAGATCGAAACAGGCCTTCTAAAATGCATCAAGGGAAAACAGACACAATATCACCGAAACAACACTGTTAGTTTTACATAAAAGCTCCAGAAAAGATCATTGGTGGAGCCACCACCTGGCTAAAATTGGCAGGCATGGGAAATGCAGCTACAATAAAAGCCAAATGTTAAAATATACAACGCAGTAAAATCCTTTACAGCGTGATGGACAGCAGGCCCACTGCAGAGTCTTTCCAGTAGACTCTATGTGGGAAAATCAACTGAATACTTGTAAAATGTATTGTTATTCCAGGAGAATGCTTTCTTTTAAAGGAGGACTGACTAGGCAAAAATAAATGTTGATGAATGCATGGAAAGGTTTGTGGGAAGCTTTAAGAATGGTTGAACTTAGGTAGGAACTGACACTGTCCATGTGTGAAGCACTGTCTCTATGAGAGCCACCCTAAAATTTGCCCTGAAACTTAAGAAAAGTTCAGAAGTTTTGGAAATTAAGAGATAAGTTGAAAAAAACAATCACAAAGAACAGGATAAAGAGTGGTCTGCCTGCCTAGGAACCAAAATGGCAGGTGGCATAGGCATCTATAAAATCTTGCAGGTGATATAATTTTGCTTATACAGAAGAAAGGGGTAATTATGAATGCTTTATGCAAAGAGAGAAAACAGAAGCAGTACGCTTAAGGAGGAAGGTAGGAAAAGTCCATAATTTTTGGCTATTTAACAAAGAATCTACTCAAATGAGATGCATGGTTAAAAACTCAATAATCAAAAATAAAGTGGACAACAGTAGGTTCAGAAAGAGCTTAGAAGGGCTCTGAGTCAGTGATGTGTGTGGTTTGTTATTCAGATTATGGAAAAGAAAGGCATTCCAAATACAAATATTCATTCTCCAGTTTAGACAGGACTAGATTTAGATACCAGGCCACCCATTCAAGGGAATAGCTGCTATATCTTCAAAGTGTTAAGTTGTGCTTCTTGGAGTTTATGTGATCTTTCAAACCACATTTTGCTTCCATCACACTGTAAGCCTCGTGTTAATAACAAACCAAACATGACAATGTACTAGGACACTGATAGATGTGACACCACTGGCTAAAAGACAGCTGTGGGGAGAAACAGGTTTCGTGAAAGTTTTTGAAGAGACTTCCTGGGAGTGGGCAGGCAGCAGCGTACTCTTCAGTTATACAGGGCTAGAAGTAGCGAGGAAGACAGCAGAAAAGCACTATGGTTTTACATACAATCATCCGTTTGTAAAGGGAAATCCGATATGATTGATACTTCTTAGGGTCATCTGCATATAATTCCTCAAAATACTGAAAAAACAGGCACAATGGACATTTATTTTTGTCTGCGTCTGAGGGGAATGCTATGTTTCAGCAAAATCAATTTTAAAATATTTTAAAACACAAATCGTGAAGCTATATACACTTGAAAGGCTCTGATTTGTCACCTTCCATTACCCTTTTATCTTTCTAGTATAGATGAGTCTAATTATATAGGTACAGATAGATGTTTCTTGTGTGATCAGAGGAAATATGCTGTGGCCAGGATGCCATCACTTAGCAGGCCCAGATAAGGCTGTCATTTCCCTCCTCCAACCTCCTGCCTTTTCACTCCCAGCCTCCCCCACACATGATGCTCACAAGTTGCTGCACCTTTTTTTTTTTTTTTTTTTTTTTTGCTGCCAGCAGCAGTGGCAAGAATAGGGGAGGCAAATATAATGAAAGTGAGAATAATGGCAATGTTAGCTCATGAAGTTGGAAAGGCTGGTGGGAAGCTGTGCATCTTCCTTTGCTGAAAGACAGCACGGGGGAGGCCTGTGAAGCCTGTTCACAAAAGGAGGTAGAAAAATCATTTTATGTTTGTGTTGGTGTTAGGTAGGTGGGCAAGGTAGAGTTTCATGAACACTAAGTCCAGGTCTCCTGCTGGGCTTTAATCTCCTGCTCAAGTGTTTCTTATAGAAATGCATAATCAAGATTGAGAAAACAGTGATTTTGAAAACATGTATCATTTCCTGTACTTGTGTTTGAATCCATCCTCCAGAATTAGTAGTCAGTATAATGGCAGGAGAAGCAGCTGACCTACAAAGGGTTTTCCCCAAACTCAAACTCATTAACTGGACTCTATTAGCTTAGAATATAGGGGCTTAGCCTATTTTTTCTATTAGCATGAAAAATTCCCAAGAAAATTAATATTGCAAACAAGGTTGCAAGAGAAATGTCAGATCAAATTAGTGAAAAAAACCCTGGAAATCTGCCACCCAGAAGCATCTTTATTTCACCTTGTATTTTACAACAATAATTTAAAGCACAGAATTTGTATGCTGATCAATCAACTCATACATTATTTAGTATATTTAGCAATACTTAGTCATCGAAGCATTGTTAGTTTAATTTAAGCAACAATATACTTGAGCATAGTAAAATGACACTTCAAAAATACTTTGTGATTCAGAAAAATTTCCCCACAAATTAGTGTGATTTCAGTCACTTTGGAAAGAGCCCACACACTGCCCTCACCCTCCTCCCTCATTCCCACAATGGAGCCACATACAGACCGTGAAAAGAATACCTTTGTGCTTTGCTTCTAATTAATATAAAAGATAGTTGAACAAATTGACACTAGAAAACTATTTGTAATCTAAATTATCGCTAATGGAGTAATAGAGGGATAATTCAGATTGTTAAATCTTCAGAGAAAATTCATACTGTTTTATTATAGGTCATAAAAAATGTTAATTTAAAAAAGACACAAATCACCACCAATCATAAACAACTTTTCTCAAAATTGGGCTGGCACTACCATATGGACTTTATACAGAAATGTGAAATTACAACTTTTCAAGGATTTTTAATATGGTAAATATATTTGTCAAAAAAAAACTTAAAACCGTTAATAAAAGTTATTTGGTGGCTGAAAAAAAAAATCCTTAAAAAATATTTTCGGCAAAAAAAAAAAAAAAAAAAAAAGGAACAAGGAAAAAAAAAGAAAAAACTTGGACTCCATGCCAGGGTTTAGACTCTGACAAGGAAAATAATTTCCTCATTTATTGCACAAGTTTTGTTGAAAATAACAGAAAATATGTAAACCTGAATCCTAACACACACCTCCCTGACCTGGGAGCTCCATCCAACAGCAACCAAAAACCCCTGCTTGGTTTTGCCAATCACCTTTCTCAACTTCAACTCTAAACCTACTTATCTGCTAGAGATAAGTAGGGGTGCCTCAGTGGCTGCTTGGGGACCAAAGGTAAAGGAAGCCTGTCCCCAGTCTCAGTTGTGACAATCAAACAATAAACGTCCTAGGATGGCAGGGGATCTGCATCTGAGGTGGGGCAGGCAGATCACGTGAACCTCGAGGCCATCAAAAGCTCAGCCTGCAGCCAGGTGGCTCTCTGCCTCCAGGACAGGTCTAAGAGCATTCAGCCCTCTGTGAGAAATAGAACCTGTGTACCTGCCTTTTTCCTTTCCACCAACATATTTGTATTTTCCTTACTCTGTCTCTGCTGGAGTATGAGGAGTAATAAGTACAGAGTGGTGAGTTTTTCCCAGTAAGGAAAAGCTGTGTTTGATCAAAAAGAAACTAGGCTGCTGAGCAGGGTAAGGCTAAGGAGCACGTTGGCCCGGCAGCTCTCCTTACCAAGTTTTCGTTGGTCAGCCGGGTGATCTCATGCTGCAGGCTGGCCTCAATGCGGGCCTCTGGGGGCAGCTGCAGGTTCTGGGCCAGCAGCTGCTGCTGTCGGTTGTTCTCCTCCTTCAGGCTCTGGATCTCCCCACGGAGGGCCTCGGCCTCATTCTCATGGCTCCTCTTCTGTGACTGGAGCTGGGATTCCAGGAGCCTGAGGAGAGGACACATGGGTAGGATGGGGGATGACACCCCAAGTCCCTGCCTAACGGGTGTAAGGCATCGTGCTCACTTGCAAGAGTAGGAAAAGCAGACACTCTTTAGCATCTGTGTATCTTCTGACTTGATTAAAGTCAAGAAACTAAAACAAGAAGCAGAAATAGAAACGGATGCTCTCACATTTGTGTCTTCCTGCATTATATAAAGTTCTAAGAGGCCCTAAGAAACAGGAAAGTTTTAATTCTTTTGAAAGGTTCATAGGAGGCCAGGTGTGGGGGGGCTCACGCCTGTAATCCCAGCACGTTAGACGGGCAGATCACCTGAGGTCAGCAGTTCAAGACCAGCCTGGCCAACATGGTGAAACCCCGTCTCTGCTAAAAATACAAAAAATTAGCTGGGTGTGGTGGCAGGCACCTGTAGTCCCAGCTACTCAGGAGGCTAAGGCAGGAGAATCACTTGAACCCAGGAAGGGGAGGTTGCAGTGAGACAAGATCACACCATTGCACTCCAGCCTGGGTAACAAGGGTGAAACTCCATTTCAAAAAATAAAAATAAAAAAAGGTTCATAGGAAATGAGAATGCGAAAAAAAAAAATCAATTGAAAGATACAACTTTAATCTGCCTTGCATTTATAAATAAGCATTTAAATTGGCAAATGTAGTACAACTTTGCCACAAAATAACTCTGCACTGTAAAGGGCAACATTACAAACTTCCAATCTAACTAAATGTGAATCTGAACTACAGAGTTACTAATTCCAGGCAGAGGGTGGGACCAGGGTCCCATTTTTATATTCTACTCCTATTCTGAAAGAAAGGCTTATATACATATTTACCCAAATCCATACAATTAGTTTTGAAATTTCCTACATATATTTTAGATCTGTCATCTTCTTTCTCCTCATAAACTTACATATCAGAAACAGAATCCTAACAAGATGTGGTTTTAGAACACAAATATTAATAGGACCAACAAAGCGATTACTCCTTCTCCAAGCAAACATACAGCCAGCTGTACCCGCAGAACAGACTAGGCACTGGAAGTGACAACACCAGACTCCGAGTATCCTTCCTTTGCCATGTTCCCCTGTTGCTACAGTCACTCTTTTTCCAAATGCAAAGTTATGGTTAAGAACTAAAATAATGTGAAGAAAGAAAGGACATTCTTTTATTCCAGGTCCATGGTTGCCAACTTCTGGGTAAAACTTACGGATACCACTGTAAGCAAACTGTTAACAGTGGACTAAAAATATTTTAGTGATTAAAAAATTTCAAAAAGATCTGCACCAGCAACACACCAAAATTAATGACAAGAGTTAATGATAAGAATAAACAAAGCAGAATAAGCAGAAGCCCCTTGAAGAAACATTTTGAGTATTTTTAAAATTTAATCACTAAAATGGAATTTTAATGAGATTTTAAAGACAAATATCACTAGAGCAGATGAATGTCTGTTTAGAAAGGTGCTGCTGTTTCAATTTTATTTTCCCTCCCGTGACCATATTTAACATGTTGCGTTTGGGTAATTATTCTGAGCTATAGGAATGCAGGAAACTCTCCTGATTTGCTGTTTCACAAATTTGAATTTCATAATAACCACAGAGTGCCAAATCATGCATTTCATCTTGCTTTTAGACAGCATGATAATAATATATAAGAATGTAGGCTGGATACAGTGCCTCATGCCTGTAATCCCAACACTTTGGGAGGCCAAGGCAGGACTGTTTGAGCCCAGGAGTTTGGTACCAGCCTGGGCAACGAGGTGAGACCCTGTCTCTACAAAAAATCAAAAAATTAGCTAAGTGTGGTGGCACATGCCTGTGGTCCCACTTACTTGGGAAGCTAAGGCAGGAGGATCGTTTGAGCCCAGGAGGAGAAGGCTAATTAAGTCATGATCACGCTATTACACTCAAGCCTGGGTGACAGACTTAAAAAAAAAAAAAAAAAAAAAAAAAAAAAAAGAGAGGCCACATGCAACAAGGAAATAATATCTTCTGTAAATCAAGATACAGGATTAGAGAAGCCACTGTCTAGGGAATAAGGCTTAATCTCCCC